TTGCCTTCTGTGTTCTCTCTCTCTCTCTCTCTCTCTCTCTCTCTCTCTCTCTCTCTGTCACTCTTTCCTGCAGTCACCTTGGATTCCAGGAACAATAAGTCTGATGGATAAACATCTTGTGACAAAGAGCCGAAACTACCCCCCGAGTGGCAGCAAGTTGCTGACAAGACTCTGCTGGGCCAGTCCTGAGGTCACGATCAACCAGACCACAGCCTGGCCGAGAGCTACCCAAGGCCCCACCCTGACCTGTGACTCCCATCAGCACCTTAGAGACAGGTGTATTCTCTCTGTTCTTCCCAGGGCAGCCCACACGGAGAATAAACTCCCTTTCTGCCTTCGCCCCGGCCACCTCTTGGATGGGCCTTTGGGGAAGGGGGCCAGACCTGGACCTTTGAGCGCCCTGCAGCTAAGCCTTGGGCCCAGTTCCAGTCACAAGGCCTGAGGGTGGCACACAGGCTTTCCATCCTCTCCTGGGAACCCCCGGCCAGGCGACTGCTGCTGGTACTTCATTCTGTCAACACACTCACATGGACCCCGCTGGGAGGCGCATGTTGATGGAGCGCTGCCCTACAGTTGTGAGCTTCTTCCACTTCACACTTGTGGACAGCAGAGAGGCCTTCGCAGAGGTCCTCCCTAGGAGCTGTGAATATGTCACCTCCCCTGGCGAAGGGGCTTCACCGATGAAGGATCCTGATGGGAGGCTGGTCCCCAATTGTCTGTGGGCACAAGGGTCCTCATGAGGTAAAGAGGGAGACGGGAGGGTCAGAGAGGAGCGGAGAGTTCCAAGGGAGGATCTGTGGTCCTGGAAGACAAAGGAGCCAGGAACTCTATAAGTCCAGGCTCTCTATAAGCTGCAAAACGCCAAGAAATGGATTCTCTTTTGAAAGTTCTAGAAGGAACAGAACCCTGCAGACACGTGGATTCAGGACTTCTGACGGACCTCCAGACTATGAGGTAACAGACTGTTGTTTTCAGCATCAGATTGTGATAGAGCAGCTCAGGGGACCAGCACACCTGTTAGATCGGCATCATGCGTCCCAGTTCTTCACCTGTCGGCTGCAGTTTGGATCCTGAGTGTCCCCCAAGGCCCAGGGCTACAGGTTTGCTTCCTGGGGCGGTGCTGTTGGAAGGTGGTGGACCCTTTCGGAGGTGGGGAGGTCTTTAGGTCACTGAGGGCGTGACCTTTGAAGGGTGCAGTAGGACCCCGATTCTTCTTCCTTTCTTTTGCTTCCCAACCATGAGATGAACAGTTTTGACACCGCTTCTGCTGAGATGTGCCGTCTTGACGTAGGACCAAAGGAGTGGGGCCCAGGAACTGCAAACTTGAAAACTGTAAGTCAAAATGAGCCGCTTCTTTTTCTGAGTTATTTGGAATCGTTCTCTTTATCAGCTCTCAGGTATCTGTTACAGGGATGGTGAGCACACAAGGACCAAGCTGGGCGCACACTTCATGGATCAGCAGAAGCCTTTATTCAGGAACAGAATCGTGCCTCTGATGGACCCACTTTTCCGATGGAAAATGAGCCACAGGCCAAAGCAGGGATCTGGGCTTATATAGGTCATACCGAGAGGTTTGGGCACTGGGGAATTTGGGGTCTGTTTTACTGGGTGAGATGGGGGGGGGTCTGGGGTCAGTGGTCAGTATCTGGAAAAGGGTGTGTTTGGGGAAGGATCAATGCTTTGGTCTCTTCCCAGAGACAGTCCTTCCAGACCTGATGGATATCTCCTCCCCGGAGCCTGTCTTATCACTGGAAAAGAATATATTGGAAAGGAATCAATGGATTGCCTTCTCTCTCATTTCCTTTCCCCAAGCCCCACTATTTTGGGGTTGGCCGTTTTCCATATCCTATAGGGATAACGCTTTCCCATATGCATGTCCTTTTCTGTTTGACTGATTAGTTCCTCGTGCAGATGGGGTGGAGTCTCCCTCTGGACTCTGGACTCTGGGTTTGGCTGTGTGGCTTTGGCCAACGGGACGAGCCAGAAGTGACAGGAGAGCAGTTTGAACCCAGAGACTGCCCGTTTCTCGTAATGAGGACATGCTCAGGCTCACTGACTAACTGGAGGAGGAGGAGGGACGGTGGAACCGAGCTGCCCAGTTACAGTTTCCCGGAAGGCGGCGGCCCCAGCCTGCTCTATTTAACTGAGCCCAAATCAGATGACCGCCTAATGACCCCCATGGAACCCGGAGCCAGAATGAGAAATGACTGTGCTTTACGCCACTGAATTTGGGGTCCGTTCTGGTTACACAGCAGTAGTTATGTGACACATTGCTTTATGAGCTGATGGTAACAATTTGGAAGGCAATGCTCCGGGTGGTTTTTACACCATCTCCTTGTAAGACTTGCTGCTGCTGATGAATGGCCCAGCCATGACATTTCAGGCATTTCGTTTACGGCTGGATGCAATCCTATAGTCTGATCACACACAGATCAATGACCAGGGAAGAGAGCAGTCCGACCCTTCTCCACTCACATTCCCCATCAAGCACACAAAGATACCAGTCTGCAGGACTCCTTTTATTAGCAGGTTTATTGCGATTATAAAATATAATAAGTTATATGTACAGAAATAGATTAAGTGTCCACAATTAAGACTTCACTGGCTAAGGGCCACAGACCTAACCTGGGGTGCTCACTAAATGCTTTTACATATTGCAAAATTGGACTGTTTCCAGACAAAATGGCAGGATGGAGAGTCCCGGCTTTGTCAATAAGAATCATTTTGGCCTCGTTGATTATGAATGCCCTAGTGTAGGCAAAAATCTCTATGGAATAAACCTTTCTTGGATTTGTTTCCAAATAAGTAAATGACAAGGACCAGCTCCTGAAGAATGGCAGGTTGCGAGTCAGTGGAGCATGCTCCACGTTCGCGGGACCTCTGGCCTCCAATCCAACAGAGTGAAACGAGGCCGGCCTCCAACCACCCCAGAACAGCCTTCCCTAAGAACACGGTTTACAGGAGGGTGTGAGCTGTTATCTCGGGCCTACTCTCTCATCACATGTGACATTTTCAGTCTAATTAAGGGTAGACTCTCATCATCATTATTGCAAAGCAGGGGGAAAGGGGCACCGCAGGATTTCGAAGAGGAATTAAAAGGATAATTAAGCTTTTGCTGCGGAGTATTTAGCTTGCAGGATACACCAAATAGACTCAGAAAAAAAAAAAAAAAACCACAGCAGCAAACAGACACAGTAAATGATGACATTAAATATTCAGGACCTAATTATGATCCTCTCACAGTAGGTTCTACATTCAGCGGTGGGAAATTGCTTGTTGGCTTTAAACATACGACTGATTTCCCCCCAAAGCGTTTGTTCAGTCATGCGACTTATGATTTTAAAAGCATCACTTTATAAGTCAGGGACTTTATTTTCATTTAGTAATCACCACGGTCAGACCTATCGGGAGGGGGCTCGGCAGCAAGCTCAACATTAACCCCCCGGTGTGATCACTACCCTGGCCCCCCCTCAGCTCTTGCCAACTGCAGGTGGAATTAGAGAATCTGCCAAGAACAATGCCAGTTTATTAACTTCATCTCTATCAATGTTGTGTCAAACAGTCGCAGTTACGTGAAGATGCCAGCGGTGAGCTTTTCTGTTTCACTCCCCTTTATCTGCTCCCTGCAGTGACTCCAGGCCAGGATCTCCCGCAGTGTTCCTTTCCTTTCTTCTCTTTCTTCATTTATTTTGACTGGGGATTGGACCCAGGGCATGGTACCACTGAGCCACACCCCCGGCCTTTGAGACAGGGTCTTGCAAAGTTGCTAAGACTGGTCTCGAATTGGAGATCCTCTTGCCTCAGCCTCCCAAGTCAGTGGGATGGCAGGTGGGTACCACCACTCCTGGCTTCACGTTCTTTTTTGCCCACCTAAGCCTGACTTTTCTTGACTGCAGAATTAGAGGCCAAACTCTCGTTTGTGAAAGTCAGACTGGAGCTGAGGATGGAGAAGAAAATGGCCCAGGACCCAGTCTCAGACTCGGCATTGCACCCCAGGCTCCACTGTCCCTGACCGGCTCAGAGAGCTGAGTCTGGAAACCCTCACAACATGACCTCATCTACCCGTCTCGGACGCTCTTGACATCTAGAACTGTGTACGGCTGAACTCTCAGGATGTCTTCATGTACTTAAGCAGAGGTGACCACTCGTATCCGTTTAAAGCAAAAATATCGCCTGACCACATCATAACCTAAGCTGCTTGTGTTCTTGAGTGTTGCTGCCCCCAAGGATCACGTTGGCCTGAGGACGAGAGTGGAAGGCCATTCATACCTGATCTAGAATGCTCCCTTCCTAGGCCTAGGAGGCCTGCAGTCAAGAACCCCGTGTCTGCGTGATCGGACAGACACACGACTTGCATGTCACAGTAAGACAGAGTGAGAGCTTCCACTGGACAGCCTGTAGGAACGCGGGTGACCCCGAGGACAGCTCAGGTTATCCCAGTGAAACCACGCGGACACCAGCAGACTCTGTGGGAATCTGCACTTGGTAACCATGTGGCCACAGTTTTTGAGCTGTTTTCTTCACGGGGGCCCTCCTTCATCCCCCCTGTGGGAAACCACACTTCTTAGCATCTTTATTACCTTTTCTCAGTTTCCCTCTTTTAGCTCATTTGATCTCTTCTGGTGAAGCGGTTTGTAGACGTGTCTTCCGTCTCCCACTGAGTGTAAGCTCCTTAAAGCAGGGTCAGATTCTTCACTTCTGTGGTCCCCATGTGGTTTGAGTCCCCAACAGTGTCTGTTGAGTGAATTTATGGTAGGCTGGCTGGCTGGCCCAATCGATCAATAAATATTCATTCTGTCTGGTGAGGTCAAGTGGGGAGCTGGGAGCCTCCCAGCTTTAATCCTTTCTCTTTGGTTGGRTTGGAAGACAGGCCTCATTTCCCCTTGCTCCTCGGAGCAGCTGAAGGCATATAGTGACACATCAGGAAGAGCCTGGATTGTGGCAGGCGGATGGCACCACTCACAGCTGCAGAGGCCTTGTTGGTTGCCTGGCTCATCCCAGGGAGGACAGTCCGAAGCATGCTCCTCAGGACGCAGTGGGGGGTGGGGAGGTGGGTGGCACCACCCCGGCCCACTCCAGTATGTCTGCACACAAGGACTCCACAGCATCCAGCCGCTCAATCTGCACCAGTTTTGTGAGCAGCTCTGGGATGCTGTAGCCCGCCGTGCTGATGCGGTCGAAGAGCTGCATGCCATCTGTCATGCCCCCAATCTCGTCCCTCTTCAGTCCAAAGCTTTCAGCAAGGTGGCGCCAGGTTTTCACAACAGCCTTCTCAGAGTTGTATGTGGAGCTGAGCATTCGGCTTGTCTTCTCGAGGCAATCAAACGGCAGCTCTGTGGGGCTGAGACCTAGGAGGGCAAGAGCTACAGTCAGACTTCACAACGCACAGCTAACAGAGGCTCAACACCACTCAAAATACTTAAAAAAAAAATTCTACCAAATGCTTAAATGAGAATTAACACCAATTCTGCACAATCTCTTCCCCCAAACAGAAAAGAAATATTTCCCAACTTGATATCTAAACTAGACCAAGACAGTGCAATGAGTTGCATGAATAAAAATACAAAATCCTTTACAAAGTATTATCAAATAGAATTCAACAATGCAACAGTGAATTATATGCCATGAAAAGTCACATTTATTCTAGGGATACAAGGCCGGTTTAATATTAAAAAAATAGTGTAATCCATTCACAAAATTAATGTAAACCATTTAGAAAAAATCTAGAGCTTCATTATACTTAATGGTTGAAAAATAGTGTGATTTTCCTTTGAGATCAGGATCAAGGCAAGATTTCTGCTCTCACCACTCTTATTTGACATGGTACTGGAAGTTACAGCCAGAGCAATAAGGCAAGAAAAGGGAAGCAAAGGAATCTAAAAGAAATCCCAAGAAATCTAAAAGAAAAATTCCATATCTAATAAGTAAATTCAGCAATGTCACAGGATATAAGAGAAATATATAAAAATCCACTTTATTTCTATATACTAGCAATGTATATAAAAAATGCATAAAATATAAATCTAACAAAAAATGTTTAGAATGTTCTGAAAACCTTGCAATGCTGATGAAATAAATCAAAGATGATCTAAATGAATTAATAGATATACATTTTTATGGATCAAAAGATAACAAAATAAAGTATTGAATCTTCCCAGCAGGTTTGCTATCTGTACAGGCTTGATTCAATTGCTATCAAAAGTCCAGCCAGTAATCCCAGCAACCTGGGAGGCTGATGTGGGAAGATTGCAAGTTCAAAGCCAGCCTCAGCAAACTAGTGAGACCCTGTCTCAAAAAAAGAAAAAGGTGAGTGGAGGGGTGAGGGGAAGGTGGGTGCTGGAGATGTAGCTCAATGGTTAAGCACCCCTGCGTTCAATCCCCAGTCACAAACAAACAAGCAAAAATCCAAACTAGAAATTTTTAAAAAGCTTTTTTTTTGAAAGTTGTAAATGGACACAATACCTTTATTTTTATTCATTTATTTTTATGTGGTGCTGAGGATCGAACCCAGGGCTTCGCACATGGAAGGCAAGTGCTCTACCACAGCCCCCAAGCTAGACATTTTTTTAAAAAATATCTTTTTAGTTGTAGATGGACACAATATCTTCATTTATTTATTTATTTTTATGGGATACTGAGGATCGAACCCAGCGCCTCACACGTGCTAGGTGAATGCTCTACCACTGAGCCACAACTGCAGCCTCTCAAGCTAGATGTTTTGTATGGAGAGGGAAGAGGATCCTAAAACTTATGTGAAAAGAATAAGGAACTGGAATTAATAAAGGAATTTTGAGGAAGACAAAAGAATACAATGGGAACAATCTGATTTCAAGACAGATGTTTTTATGAAACCTACACAGGCATCAAGGCTGTGTCCTATTGTCAGCAGGGCAGATTCACAGAACAGTGCAACAAGAGAATCTAGAAAACAGACCTACACAAATATGCTAAACTGATTCTTGACAAAAGCAATTCAATACAGGAAAGACAGCCTTATAGCAAATGGTCCTGGAGCAATTGGCATCAATTGGCAGAGCAACCAACTAAAAAACAAAACACACCAAAACAAACAAGTCCACCCAAGTGCCACATCTTATTAAAATTAAGCTGATCAGCTGACCGTGAACTTAAAGGCACAACACAAAAACTATAATTCTTTTAAAGTAAATATACAGGGGAAGATCCTGGGAATCTAGAGCCAGGCAAGAAGATCTTTACCGTGACAACACAAGTCCAATCCCTAAAAGGACAACCTGATAATGAATCTGACAAATTTGACTCCTAGAAATTTAAAACTCGCCCCACGAAGAACCCTGTTAAGAAAGTGAAAAGACAAGCTAAACTAGCTACAAAAGGAGAGAATATTGGCAAACAACAGAAGCCTGGTATCCCCAATATATAAAGAACCCTCAAAACTCAACAGCAGAAATAATCACCCAATGGGGCAAAGGTCATGAAGAAACTTCCTACTAAAAGGACATACAGATGGTAAATAAGCATAGGAAGAGATGTTCAAACATCAGGGAAACAAAACCCAAGGCGATACCACTACATACTATCAGAATGGTTAATATGAACTCTTGAGGACATGGAGAAACTGCTAGTGAGAATGGGAAACCATTCAGCCACTTTGGAAAAGAGTTTGGCAGTTTTTAAAAGCACTAAACATGCAACTAGCGAATGACCTAACAGTTGCACTCCTGCACGTTTATCCCGGAGAAATGATGATGCCTGGTGTTCTTGCAAAGCCTGTGCTCCAATGTCTTGGCACCTTTATCCATAACAGCCCCTACCTGGAATCAATCCAGGTGTCTTTTACCAAGCAAGGGGTGAAACCAACCGTGGTCTATCTGTATCATGGAACACTACTCAGCCACAGAAAGGAACTGTTGACACCTTCAACAACCTGAATGAATCTCCATCAAGTGGTGATACACAAGACAGCCAATCACATGATTCCATTTTAATAACATTCTTGACAGGACGAAACTCTAGCAACGGGAAGCAGGTTAGTGGTTGCCAGGGGCTCAGGCAGTGACGGGGTGAGTGGGAAGTGGAACAGAAGGGTCCCTGTAGTGATTGAAAGGGTCTCTCTCTTATCTTCACTGTTATCATTCTCCATATCCTGGTTGTGACTTTTACGTGAAACTTTATAAGATGTCAACCTTAGGAGACCCTGTGTAGAGAGGACGCAGGACCTCGCTGTCCCTTACCACTGCATGGTAGGAGTTAGCTCGCAATAAAAAATCTAATTGAAAAACAGAGAACCCCAAGAAACCACGATGCCCAGGTCTCTCCCCAGATGAGTTACATCAGGCTCCTGGGGCAGGGGGATGGGCTGGGCCCTGCTGCTCCGAGGGTCTCGGCCTCGGCTGTGGGTCAGCATCTCTGTGGGATTATGAGGCACTTGTGCCTGAGCTACCGGCTGGGTGGCCGAGGGCACAGGGCTTCAAGCTTTCACCCTGCCAGGGCTCCACTTACGTTCAAGTTTTCTAAAATTAACTTGAAAACCAGTGTCCCAGGGTATGGACTCTTAAAGCCAAGATATTCTTTGGACTAGAGAAGAGCTTTCAGGGCGCTGGAACACAAGACCCAGAGCACCTTCCCGTGGGCAGCCGGCCGCCCCTGGCCACACCAGGCTTGATCGGGCAGGCTCGTGGGCAGGTCTTTATGGAGAGACACCACATTTGGGAAGTCAGCCAAGAAGAATTCTTGGCCCCGGAACTCACGCTCCGCCGCTATTTCTGGCCAAGGGAGCACCTAACCAGCCTGCCCAGGCTCAGTGGGCTGTACCCAGCCCAGGTCGCCAGGAGCCATCAACCCTGCACCTGGCTTTGCTCGTTCTGCTGGACTGAGGTGTGTGAGGGTGGTGTGTGTGGGGGGGTGTGCCAGCGAGGAAGCAGGGAAAACCCCTGCCCTCAGCTGTGAGGGGTTTAACTTTGGGGTGAACAGAAGGTAACAAAGGGACTGGATTTTGCAGCCATTGGGAACTGTGGGTTAGAATTTCAGACTGCTGTGTTTTTGTTGCTTCTCACCGGCCCACACCAGGTCTGTCTCGGGTGACCACAAAGCAGTCTGAATTTTCTCCTTAGGGGGCAGCTTGGGAACAGAGGTGGGAGGCCCCCGAAGGCCATTATCCTTTGTGAGCCTCAGGAGGGAAGGGAAAGGACTGCTAGGTACAGCCCTGTGCTGCATGATGATGTTTCCACCGAGGACAGACTGCAAATACCATGGTGGTCCCATAAGATCGTATGACATTATAGTGATACCGTAGTCATCCTGTTGGTGTCGAGCCCCACTGGTGTTCATGCAAGAACAGGATCGTCTGTGCATTTCTCAGAGTGTGCCCCACTGTCAGTCACCACCGACTGCATGGATAAATAACTGATGGTGATGTTTCCCAGCTGACGATGCCTGTGGACGTGGCATGGTAGCTGCATGTTCCTCACCCCACCTGTCACTGCCCTGAGCACACACTGGGGCTGTCTCCTCTCCTGTGAGGGGGAAGGCCACGGGACATGCCAGGGAGATGCCTCAGACTGGCTGAAGCCAGATTCCTTTACCCTCTACCTCGAAGTCAGCTCAGGTGGCTATTCTGAGTGGAGAGTGACAGGCCAGGTAGGCGACTCTCCTTAGTACCCCCTCCCACAATTGACGTCAGGGCAGGTCAGCGGGGACACTTCAGGCAAGGGTCCTCTGGGCAGCTTTTCACACTCACCTTCGACGACACCGCACACATTGGCATACACATCCAATATTTTTTTCCTTCTGCTTTGGATCTGAAAAAAAAAAAAAGATAATGTAATTATGCAGAAAGGGACACAATAGTAGCGAAGAACCAAGTCTCCTGTCTTAGTACCGGCAGCAGGGGCTTTTCCCTGATAGCTGAACCAAGCCTTCAGGCAAAAAACAGTCCAAACAGCAGGAAGAAGGATTTCCTGAGGTTTTCCACAGAAACAGCTTTGGTGCACACCAGGGCGCTTCTTAGGTTAACTAAACACCTGCCATCGGTGTGTTTGAAAGCATGGTGGTGGGGATCCCCGTTGGCCAGCACTCAGCAGCCAGCAGAGCTACGGGGGACTCCAGTTCCTGGAGCAGATAGCTGCTTGCAAGGACAGTGCTGAGAGGCCCTGGCTGAAAAGTCCTGTGGCCATAGCCATTCAACTCCTGCAGCAACCCTATAGGCCTCTGGGTCCCTGCAAGTGGTGGCCCTTTAAGAAAGGTCGCTGAACTCAGGGCAGCCCAGAACCTGGTGTCCCCGCAGAACCAGGCCAGACCTGGATCCCAGCAGGACATTTCACCAACAGGATCGACTAGACATAGCATGTGCCCCAAACAGCACTTCAGGGTGGCTGGCTTTAGGTGGTAAAGCCCCGTGACAATTTGTACTACTTATATATGAAAGATACAAGAAATATCTTTTAAATCTATGATCTATCATCATCATCATCATCATCTAATGAACCATTCCGTACTTCCTGGATACTGAAATCTTTGGATGCTCAGGTCTCCTATATAAAATGGTGTAGTATTTGCATAGAGCCTGTGCACACCCTGCTACCTACTGTGTCACTTTTAGATAACATAATAACTAATACGAGGTAAATGCTGTGTCAGTAGTTGTTATACTATATTGTTTTGGGGACCCTGATGTGGAAAACCATCTGTACATGTTTAGTACAGACCCAGTTTTTTTTTGTTTGTTTCTTTTACTATTTCATAATGTGGTTGGTTGAATCTGTGAATGCAGAATCTGCAGATAAAGGACTGACTGTGACATGCACATTTTGTATATGTGTATGTAGAAAATTATCTGGAGGATACATACCTGTATGTTTACAAAGGTTTTTTTTTTTTTTTTCTCTGTACTCTGGCTAAGCGATTGTAAATATTTTCTACAGCTTATTTCCATTTTCATCTATAAAACAATATAATAAAAGAAAAAAGTTTTCTATTTATGACTGTCTTGTCAACCTGTCACTCTGTCCACTGTCCTAGCTTGGACACTGTCTCACAGGAACTTATGCGATAGGAAAGTCTTGGCTGGTGGCAAGAGGTCACTGCACAGGTACGTGGTGGGTGTGGGCAGAGTGCCACGTAGGTCAGAGCCTCACCCCGGCTGACTTGTTGTTGGTGGCAGACTTCTCCCTGGCCAGGTGCACCAGCGACAGCAGGCACAGCTCCGGGGAGCCCTGCTTGTCAGGGGCCGGCTCCTCATCACTGTCCACGCTCCGGCTCAGCAGCTGCTCGTTCTCAGAGGAGGCGTCGTTCTCACTGGGGAAACAAGAGGGGTGCTTGTTAATAGTGTGGGGGGGCCACAGCCCTGGCAGTCTCCTGGCAGTGCCCTGTGGCCTGGGTGTGGACAGTCGGGTGCAGGGCACTGCTCCTCATGCATTTATGATGCATCTGTGGGCTCCAGGTGAGGAGACCTGAGATGAGAAACTCACATCGGGGCTCCCTGATCTTTTCCAGAGGAGTAACTCCATGTGGAGAGACCTGCAGGTGTCTGGGGGTGGGCGGCAGGGAGTTCACGGAGGTGCAGCGGGAGCTCCAAGGGGCCATGGGCTGCCATCGAGGGTCAACCACAGCATGAAATAGTAATAAAAAAAAATTGGTCTTCAGGCCCTCTGACACACAGTGGGTGCCCATAAAGTTTTCACTGAATTCGTTCTAGATTCCTGTATTTAATCTCAATAAGCACCGAGCTCAACCTTGCGTCTTCATGTTAAGCAGACAAGATCATGTGGCTGGCACTGAATCCGCGCAGGTTTTCAAGAATAACTGAGAACAGAGTGAGTAGGGCCCGTGCCTGGGAAGGCCCCTCTTGGCTAGTGAGGCGGCCTGGCTGGCTGTGTGCCTTGTGGGGTTTACAGCAGGCCCTGGAGGGTGGGCAGGTTGGGTGGTCAGATGGGACAGGCCTGGGCTCATGCCACTTTACTGTTCTTTGCCCAGGCCACACAGGACCCAGTGCTGGCCCTGGCAATCCAAATATATGAAAAACAATCTTCTTTTATAGTAGGCTTCCTTTTTACTTCCTGTGGTTTGGCCGAGACCTTTTTTTTTTTTTTTCCTTTAAAACGGATTGTATTTGCCAGTAACTGGGTTATAGCAACGAAGCCCATAAGCAAACACAACCTCAGAGCCAGGACGATACAAATAAAATAAAAAGGATGATGAAGGCCCCGCAGGCGGCCTGCTTCCCCATTCCCTTCAGGGCCTGGCTGGCATTGGCTGGCTCATTCCTGTCTCCACCTGGGACCAAGCCAGAGGGCGAGGCCACTTCCCCCCAGACCCCCATGAGGTCTAGTCACCAAGCCCCAAGAGTGGTGGGCAGGGACAAAAGCTCAGGGCCTTGTTGTCTATTTTACAGTTTTCAGTTTTGGTTTTTATCTAATATTTATATATGAGACAGTATGTATCTTTTTCCAAGTAGGGTCCTCCAATTTCCCCCCTATTTGGGTGAAACTCAAATCACAGGACTTGTCTCTGTCTTTTTGACTACTTCTTTTTTTCTACTTTTGGGAACAAGGAATCTTGGAAGAACCGAAGGGGAGAGCTGAGACCAAACAGGACAACGCTGATGGAGGCGAGAGAAGTGGTTCCACTCGGGACCCAGTGTGGAGGGGCTGGGGCTGGGGCTGTGCCACCAGGTGGCCAGAGCCTGCCCCAGCTCCACATACCTCTTGGTGGTCTTTGCCGGAGTCGCTGTCAGCTTCTCAAATTCATCCTTCTCAGAGAAAATCACCACATTGTCTGCAGGGAAAGAGGAGTTGAGGGGAGGGGGCATTAGCAAATGTCCCCGGCTCTCAGCCTGGCTCCCCCTGCTCCTCCTCTTTGCCCAACTGCCTCGTGACCATGATGCTGCCAGGGTGAGACAGTGTGGGCGCACCTCCTGTCCAAAGAGGCACAAGAGCAGGGGCAGCCAGCTGGGGAGCTGGGGGGAGGGTGGACGCTGTCCACTGTAGTGTTGGACACCAGGCGTGCGCTGGCATGCCAACTGTGCGCACAGACCCGGGGCCTCCTTCTTCTCCTCGTCCCTGCTCACTGGGGCTTCCACGCTCTTCCCTGGGGGGCTGGTGCAGCAGGCTGGTTGGAGAGACAGGAGGGAGGGAGTGAGCAGCCAGGTCCCCCCACCGGCAAGGTGACAGAGTAGCCCAGAGGGAGGGGGAGGGACGCAGGGCGGTCACCTGGGGCTGAAGGCTTCGTCTTCATGATGTAGAACATGATAATGAGGACGATGGCGATGGCCATGATGAAGATGGTGGACATGGCAATGATCAGGGCGGTGGCCAGGTGTCCTTGGCCCGAAAGCTCTGCTGGCATCAGGGGAGAGCAACATGAATGTCCCTGCAGGCTCCACTCCAGGCCCACAGCCCTGCCAGATGACTCTACCACTGGGGTGCTCCAGGACAGAGTCAGAGAGCGCAGCCCTGCACGTGTGGCCACCAGGTTAGGACTGCCCCGCTGTTCCCCTGGCTGCTCTCAAGGAGGATGACCCACACTGGGGGGGCAGGGTGTGGGTTTGCCTTGTTATTCCTGGGGTGCTTGCTCTTGGTTCTACTACGTTGGGAACCTGAGGGGAAGGTGGGAAGAGGAGAAGCCCACCAACAAGAGCGTCTCAATGAGGGCAAAATCCATGTTTGGGTATTTCCAAGCAAAAATGAGGATTCAAGAGTCCACGCCTCGGGCTAGAGGTTGGATTCTGGTTTGGCCTCACACAATTTCAACCTCGGTGTAAATGAGAGTCCCAGAGCACAGGAGGGGGCTGGGCTGACCCGCTGTCTCTTACCGATGAGGGGGGTGGGGTTTGCTCATTTCCCCTGATTAATGTAGTCTTGGACCTCTGGAATGATCTTTCTAATTCTCTAAAATAACCAAACAGGACCCCGCTTGTGAAGCAGCACCCAGGTGATCCACCACCCAAATAGGCAGGGGACAGGAATGTAAAGGTCCCGCCGAGTCATTTGAGAGAGTCACCAAGGTGGAGAGCACTGGGTGGCTCTGAGCCTCTGGAGTCATCCTGGGTGCCCCTGCAACATCCCTGGGTGCCAGCTATGAACTTGCCCTTGAGTCCTGGTGGAGTCCCCGCCTCACGCTCTCATGGGCCTGCAGGCCGCTGCACCATGAGGCTCTGTGGGCTCTTGAAGGGGCCCAAGCCTCACAGAGACCGTCTGTCAATATGCGCAAACGATGAACAGCATTAAACCCCGGAGACAGAAAGTCTGAGCCAGCTGGAGGGCTTGCTCTGGGAGAAATATTAGACTTGGCTGGGCGCAGGGGTCAGGGAGAAGAACATCTACTTGTTGAAAATTAGAATTAAGATGTGAAGGTTGCTGGGGCTGTGGCTCAGTGGCAGAGCTGCTTGCCTAGCGCCTGTGAGGCCCTGGGTTTGGTCCTCAGCACCACATAAAAATAAATAAATAAATAAAGGCATTGTGTCTATCTACAAGTAAAAATTATTTAATAAAAGGTGTGAAGGTTGTCTGGTTTATACAAAACCTAGCAAGACCCAAGCACAAGAGGCATCACTGTCCCTGCCCAGGGCTGTCTGAGCACCTCACTGCTGCCCTGCCCAGCTGCCTGGACTGCCAGCACTTCCTAAAGGTTCCGGACTCCCATGGAGCAATCAATCTGACTCCTTGCAGAGATGATTACTAACTCCCAGCAACCGAGGGCTCCCAGTGTGATTCAGCCACATTAGGGAGGTGACTTCAGGTGTGGAGGCCACCATTATCATGACTACACAATTGCTTCTCTTCCTCTTCACTTTAGTTGAGTCCCCTTAATTCCAGGAGATCACACCTGGGCACTCCTTACCTTTGTGGGCATGTTGGAAGGGGGACAGGGTGCTGCCGCCAGAGGTACTGGGGGAGTTGGCAGAAACCCCCAAAGTGGCTCCCACACCTGCAAGGAGAACACAGTCACCTCAGGTGATCTGGTGAAGCACCACCTCCAAAGGTTGAAAAAGAACACACTTGGCAATGAAGTCAATGGATCTGGAACTCTACACCATGAGTGGGCTTCAGGAGCGGGGGCAGGGGAGGCAAAATTTTTATTTCTTAGTGTGTTTAATGATCCTTAAAGAGTATTGGGACCTCTCAGGATTTTTGTTCTTTAAGTAAAAAGACACGGGTGTGATGGTGCATTCTCATAATCCCAGCGGCTCAGGAGGCTGAGGCAGGAGGACTGCAATTTAGTGAGGCTGTAAGCAAACTAGTGAAACCCTGTCTCAAAATAAAAAGAGGACTGGGAATGTGGCTCAGTGGTTAAGTGCCTGTGGGTTCAGTCCCTACGCAACTCTGATAAAACTAAACAGTGGGCAGGTGTTGGGAGGTTGGGCAGCTTCACCGACTCAGTTTTCCTGTGAGCTGAGGCAGTGCGTGGTGCAGACCGTCAGCAGGAGGGAAGCATGTGTATTAAGGCATTATTAGGGTGAAACAATCCTTGATTAATTTTTTCAATTACAAAGAGCAGGAATGTGTTCTTAATACCTTTGCTAGTCACTAAAGTAATGTGTGCTCATGATTAAAAATCTGGAAAAAACAAGACCACGAGAAAGAAGTAAAAGAACCACCCGGGGTGTCACTGTCTAATGTGGACTTTGGCGTATTTCCCTTTAGAATGTTTCTGATTTTCAAATAGTTCTGACTAAAGCATTCAAAAGCAGGAACATTCTTCACGGAGGGTCTTTGCCTTCTCCCTCTAACCTGTGATTCCCGAAAACCCCTCTCCGGAAAAAGTGTCACTAAGTGGATTAGGACGGAAGGTGCTTTTACTATGAGACAGATCACAAAGGGACAAGTGTTTAGCCCAGAAAGGCAATGTCCTGATGAGAAATCTTCTTTTAGGGTCAGACTGGAGTCTTACAGTGAATAGATAATGTTGAGGACTGGGGTGCACAGCATGAGGCCCTGGGTAATCCCCAGCACTGGGAAAAAAATATCATGTTTTGATCATGCTTCACAATGAGTCTCCTTTTTTCCTCTTCTGTCTCCACTAGTTCTGGAGATATTCAAGAAGAGGATTTGCATCCTGAAAAGCAGCTCCTGAGTCCAGAGACCACTGATCTCCCTGAAACCGATTCACTCGGTCTTCCCCCGCCCAGCCCCGTGGAGAGGAGCTGCCAGAATGCTGTACACAGGTCAGCTCGCTCCACTTCACGGCTTTGGTGAGAAACAAGCTTCTCCAGCAGGGCTGTTTTCTTTAAGAGAGAAAGTTCTGGAAGAAGCAAGGCTGCTCCGTCGGTGGTGTTTCTAAGCCTGCCACCTGGCTTGGGGGCAGTACTGCCGAGTTATCTCAGTGGCCACAGGAGAGGGGGTCCACACATTTCTCAGTCCTTATTCCATGTCAGACAAAGAGGAAATTCAGCAAATAAAACAGGGTAGAGCCGTGCATGGTGGTTGGTGCACGCCAGCAATACTAGCATCTTGGGAGGCGGAGGCAGGAGGATTGCAAGTTCAAGATCAGCCTCAGCAACTTAGTAAGACCCTGTTTCAAAAGAAAAGAATGAAGAGCTGGGGATGTGGCTCAGTAGGTAAGCACTCCTGGGTTCACGCCTGGTCCGTAGACTGAAAGGCAGTTCAAGATGCAATTTTGTGCGTCTGTAAGATGCAGGGTGCCCAGAGTCTGAGCCTGTCTCTTAGGGCTGGGTAGAAACTGAACTGTTGGCTGGGCTCTAAGAAATGTCACCTGCCCACTTTGGGCAAGAAGTTTCCTTGCCTTTTTGGAGGATAACTGGAAGCTTTTCTTCTGTCTCCCGGGCCCCCGACTTATGATAAGCTGTGCTTTTGAAATTTAGCCTCCAGGACTGGCCTCACAACCAAAGTCCTATTAGGGGAGAAGCTGGTGGAAAGGGGTGTCCCTGACTGAGAGGTGCCTGTCTAAACAGCCACATGCACCTGTCAAATAAGAGAAATGCAGGCTGTGCCCCCTCCTCCCACACACCTCAGTGAGCTCCCTTTGAATGTCGGCAGTGCATTCAGGGGGCCTATCAGATGTCATCGGTGGATGAGGAAACAAACAGGACGTGGAAAAGAAGCTGATCTGTCAATTTGGTAAGGGGCTCAAGGGAGCTTAAGAGGAAAAAAACATCCCTGGGCTATATCTCTGGATGTTAGTCATCTTTGTCTCTTCTCGTCCCTTCTTGCTGGGGCTTGCAGGTTTGAGGCGGTGACAGGGTTGGGAATGGGGACACAAATATGCTCAGGCCTGTCATCTAGAGAGGGACAACGAAAGCAGCCAAGGCAGACAGACTTATGAAATGCTTCCGCACCCGGTAGGGATGGTCACAATGACATGGCAGAGTGCAGGCTGCCGCTCGGCGACCAGCACCCACCTGCCCCGGCCAGTGGTGCCTCGCCATGATGGACTGGACCTTTCCCCCAAACTGAACTCCAGCTGCTATCAACTGAGTAGCCCCAGACCACGTTGCTGTGGGGACAGGCTGGGTGCTCCCTGGAGAAGCTCTGCGCTGAGGACATTTGAGCACCAGTCGCGGCAGGAAGACAGACTGCCCCCCTTTTCTCGAGAGCTCAGTCTCTTGCTGTCAGGTCTGGAGCTGAAGGCCTACATCTGCCCCTTATTCAGAGTGACATGCCCTCAGCCCATCCCCACAAGTGCCCTTCCTGTGGCTCTGGTTCTCACCCCAGCCTTCCTGTGTGGGTGGCCCCAGGGCCTCTGGAGAATTGCCTCGAGGGGACTCTTCCCCTGAGGATGCAGCAGCAGATTCTGAGTCCTGTGCTGTGTGCAGAAGCAGCAGGACACACAGGTCACTAGGCAGGGACAGCAGAAGAGCAGCAAACTACTCCATGACAACAGGCCCCTTCTCAGTGACTTTCGTCCCTTGCAGGGCAGGGTACATAGAATAAGCCCATGACCAAGGACAACAGCTGGTAAGATCTGGCCCCAAAGCAGGGACAGGGTGGAGTGGGTTGGGGCAGCACTGGGTGTGGTTTGAGGGAGGGTATCTGCAGGGCCTGGGAGGACTAAGTCAGGTCCCTGGTAATCACCCCTGGAGGTTTCTGTAGCTTTTTAGGATGGTTAGAAAAAAATCCCCAGAGGAAACTAACACCTGCTCTCCATGACCCCTGAACCCTTGAAATACATCCTAGAATCACAAACATCTGCATGTTAAGTTTTTAAAAACATATCCGTACAATGTTGAGTAAATGTGGCGTATAAAAGAGTTCTGGGAAAAAACCCAGCACATTAAAACAGAGAATGGACCTTGGAGTCAGAGAGGCCTGGATTATTCTCGTTCCTGTCACCACCTGTCACCAGCCGTGGGTCAACAGACAAACTGGTTGGTGGTGCTGGGTGGGTGTGGGTGTCGTCCCTACTGGCTGGCTGGAGAGGGCACACTATATGCAGGTTCTCCAGGGCAGCCTGTGGGAGCACCATACCCCTGCCTCCGAGTTCTCCTGTGCCAGCTTCTGCTCTGCTCTAACGATGATTAACTCAGCAAATTCAAAGTATTTGGCATCTGGGAGGTTTCACTCCATTCCAAAGTGAGGCATGCATTTCCAGGTCACTTGACCTCCTAGGGAAGGATCATTAAATGGAAATATTTCTCTATGTGGCTGGCTGGCTTCTTTCCTTCATTTTTTTTTTTTTTTTTTGGAACGGTGTATTGAACCCAGAGTGCTTTTAGCATCCAGTCCTTTTTATTTTTCTTTTTGAGACAGGTTTTTGCCTGGGGCTGAGGGTCTCACTAAGTTGCCCAGGCTGACTTTGAACTTTTGATCCTCTGGCTTCAGCTCCTGAATGACTGAGGTTGCAAGTGGGTGCCACTGAGCCTGGCTTCATGTGGGTGTCTGTTGGGTGGTCAACTGTGGACCCACGTTCCATTCCACGAGGACCCCAGCTTTGAACATGACAAGGTGTTGGATAATCGTCAGTGAAAACTGCAGTCTCAGAAAATCGGCGGATTTCCACTGCAGGTCTGTACTAGGATGCAAGAGAGTGGAGGTGGATCTGTTCAGCTCACCTGAGTTCTAGGCAGGACCAACTTGGGAAGCAGCCACGGGGTGGGCTGCAGGTGCACAGCCTCACCTTCCTCGGGGGACTTAGGAGTCATAAGCCTGAGGCTTAATGGAGTTAGGCCTCCACTCAAAGTGATGATAGGACACAACGGGGCGTTTGAGGGCTGTTAATCCACACGATTTAGAAAGGTGCCAGTGCTTATGAGAGACTGGCTGGGACTCTCTACAGAGGGTAAACAGTTCAAAGAAAGGTCAGGAAGGTGCCCCACCGCTGTGGCATGGGCGGAGCACCCTCTGGTGGCGGATCCTGGAACCATGGGCAGAATCCTCAGACCTCCCTAGCGGCACAAAGCGGGGTTACTAGGAACGCAGTCTCAGGCCCACCCCTGACCTGCTGCATCAGAATCCATCTCTGAAGAGGTGCCTGGCAATGTGTGGCCCGCTGACGTCTGACAAGTGCTTTGTAGAAATGGTTCTCGGAGGACGGGGCTTCCCTGCTGAGTTCTATAGCTCACATAAAGGACCGGGGGCCCTTAACCTGCACCCTGCTTCTCCAGCTTATTAAAAACGTGTTTCGGTCGACCCAGGAACATGTGGTGTCACAAGTGCTGCCCGTTTACAGATGAGGAAACTGAGGCACAGAGAAGTCAAGCAACTTTCCCAGGAGTGGAAAGCCAATCCCAATGCTGCATCTTTCCCACCTATTACACCCTGCCTCCACATAGAGCCTCTTCCACTGTCATCACAACACGGGTCCCTTGACATGACGGTCAACCACAGGCCTGAGTTCTCAGGATGGTGCGGGGTAGCGGGTGCCGAGAGAACGCTTGGTTTCTCCAGGTGCATCTTGCTTACCAAAGGGCCTTGCATCTCTGTTCAATCTCACATGGATTTACCAGGGCACAGACCATGACTGGGTCTGGGTGGGCCTGAGGCTTCCCCAACAGGCCCATCAAGAGCAGGAGGAGGAAGGCTTGGTTCCAAAGTTCTGGAGTATGCTGGGGGTGTCCTGAGTATTTTGGCCATGACCACTGCCTGGCTCAAGGCTGCCCCTGGAAGCTGTCCCACATGGGACTTGCCCTGCCATTCAAAGTAGCAGACCTGGTTTAGGGAGAGACATCATTTATATCTGCTTTGTGCTTCTAGTTTTCAAAGGATTTTGTATATATTTGTTATGGTTTGGATATGGGTGAGACAATACAAGAACACAATACAAGAGGAGAAATGGGTTATGAGAACTTTGACCCAATCAGTGAATTAATGCTCTGATGGGGATTCACTGAGTGGTAACTGAGTTACCACTGAGTGGCAGGAGGGTGTGGCTGGAAGAGATGGGTCACCGGAGGCGTGCCTTTGGGGTATCTATTTTGTGTCTGGCCAGTGGAGTCTCTATTTCTGATCACGTCCTTGGCTGTTTTCTTCCACCACACACTTCCCCCATGATGTTCTGCCTCACCTCGAGCCCTAAGGAATGGAGTCAGCCTTCTGTGAACTGAGACCTCTGAAGCCGTGAGCCTCCAAATAAAACTTTTCCTCCTCTAAAACTGTTCTTGTCGGGTGTTTTGGTCACAGCAGTGAATGTAGGTGTCAACGTACGGGTCAGCCCTGCTGGTGCACTGAGCCAATATTGTTTTCTCAATTATTTGGTGGAGAAATAGAGACAGAAGTGGCCACCAGGCACCCACAGTATTGCAGTCACTGAGCACCAGGCTCAGAGTTGGGCTCGGGGTACATATACTTTAGTCAAGATGGAAAGCAGCACAGAAGCAGGACTGATCCAGATCCCAATTGCAACCCTTTGGTTATCCTATCACTACTTGGCAATCCCAGAAACTGGAAGGGTTTTATCTTCTTTTATAAGTAAATACGTGTCCCTCTTTCATTTCTCTGAGGGTGGTCACGGAGTGGACACCACAGTGCACCTGCGACCTAAGTGCTGGTGGGAGTTAACTCACTCCATCTGGGCGACATCCTGTGCGACAGGCACTTGAGCACCCTGTTTGACAAGTAAGGAAACCGAGGCGGAGGGAGGTTAAATGCCAGTTTAACTCAGGCAGTGAAGTCCCTGCTTCTCCAACTGATTAAAAACGTGTTTTCGGTCGACCCAGACCTTCTGAATCAGAGGTGGACCCAGGAGCATGTGGTGTCACAAGTGCTGCAGGGGACTCTGAAGAGTCATGCTCTGACTCGTCTGCCCTTCAGTCACTCAGAGAAGACCTCATCTTATTAAGAATGGAGAAGCAGTCGGGCTGCACATGGGACTGGAGCCACCAAGTGCGGAGCGCTGCGGCACCCTGGCCCTGGCTCCTGTGCTGAGCAGGCCCGGCCCTGACTCAGGCTCAGTCCTGGGCAGCCTCTCCCCTGCAGTAGGCCACGACCCACGGGCTCCAGCAGTAGCTCCTCCATTGATTCCGAGTGCCTGGGATGCTCTCTTTCTTCAGCAAGGTTCAGGTAACTCAGACCAAGACAGGTCTCAGGAAAAGGCCTTCTCATCGACAACCGGGGCCGACTGTGTGGTCCCCACACGGGAGGTTTCGTCAGATTCCTGGCTTTCCCGGGGTGGGACTGTGGGTGGCAGTCCTGTGAGTGGCAGCCTTGTGACTTCCCGGGGCCATGGTCATAACCAGTCTCTACAGCACTGTGGTCTCTGAGCTCTGAGCAGGGGCCCTGGTCTTCATAGTGAACCCGGTGCAGAGGAGGTTTAGACTGGAGATATAAAATCGCCATTTCAACTCCACTCCAGGTCCCTGATCCAGGCAGGGCTCAGTCCACCATGTCTGTCATGCCTGACATCTAGCTGGCTGCATCTTCCCGTTTACCAGATGGGCAGGCAGAGGCCTGATGACTTGTCCAAGGTCAACTCTAGGGAGAGCTCATAGGCAGTGCAGCCTGGACTGGAGGTGTTCTTTTTCTTTTTTGGGGGAAGGGGGTACCAGGGATTGAACTCAGGGGCACTCAACCACTGAGCCACATCCCCAGGCCTAGTTCATATTTTATTTAGAGACAGGGTCTCACTGAGTTGCTTAGCACCTCGCTGTTGCTGAGGCTGGCTTTGAACTTGCCATCCTCCTGCCTCAGCCTCCTGAGCCACTGGGATCACAGGCATGCACCATTCCCCCCGGCCACAGACTAGAGGTTTCTATGTTGGCTTTCTTCAGTGATGGATTCTATGAACCAACCTCGGGAGGCTGGGGTATAGCTCGGTGGTAGAGTACCTGCCTAGCAAGGGTCCAGGCCTGTGGTGCCCTGGAAACTGGTTGTCTGTTGAACAATTAAGGGCTGGGAGCAGGGAGGGTTATGCACTCCTCTTCAAGATCTCCAGGACTCAGGGGACTCTGATGGCTTTCTCCTTGTGACAGTCCTCACTGTTGGAGGGAGAGAGCTGCTCCGGCCCAGACTCTGTTGGCTTTTCAGGCTGGCATTTAGGGAAGGCTCTGTGTCCGTGGAAGGCTTTTCCTGGGTCGCACAGGCAAAGAACCTATTCTAGTAAGTTGTGTGCGCCTGGCCGATTCCCGCATGCAGACTTCATCCTAGAACTTTCTGGTATTGAATCAGTTTCCATTCTTCTAAAGAAGACGCATTGATTAGCCTTGGCCGCTGAGTGGCCCCGGGCCAAGCCCACAGCTTAAGGCCCCTGGGCCTTTTGTTGGTGAATTCATTGACATATGTCGGGGAAGGAAGATCAGCTTTAAGGAGATGCACTTCTATTAATGCCAGGCTCATTTACTTAAGAAACTTGGAAGGGAGGAAGGTCTGTGCCGGCAGGGTGCCCAGGGCTCTGGCTTTGGCCAGCAGGTGGGGAGGGCACGGAGCGCCCCTGTTCTGCACTCCTGCCCTCCCTCCTCATAGCCTTTGAAAGGTGCAGCCCTGATTCTGTGAGACTATGAGACCATGAGGAAATGGGGGTGGGCGGGCTTCAGCAAGGAGAGGCAGGGTCCCAGGGTGGCCTCCTTGTCCCTCTGGAACAGCATGGACTTGGAGGGTCTCCCATGTACCCCGTTCCCTCCCAGCGGCCCTACGTTCTCTCTCCCTCAGTGGCCCCCAGACCACAAATCCAAGAGGCCCACAATATACTCCTCTGAAGCACAGGGCCCTGGCCCTTTCTCAGAAGTGAAAGATCAAAAGGAGATCAGGAAAGAACAGGGCCGGAAAGGTGTTTAAACCCACGAGCTGATGGTTTATATGAGCTTTCTGTCATCTTTCTCATTAATCGTGGTCATTTCTATAGATTTAAGGCCTCATGGGTTTATATGTGTGCGTATGTGTGCATGTATGTGTGTTTGTATGTATGTATGTACATGCACACACACTTATGAGAACTTAAAATTGCCTAGCACCTTGCAGTATGTCTCAAAATATCTTTGCATTTGTGATCTCACTGGTTTTTCCAATGATCACATAGATGGAGGGGTCAGCGTTCAGTACTCGCCATATTACAGATGAGAACGTCAGGGCTCACAGAGGTGAGGAGCCTGGTACTACAGCCTGGGCTTCTGCTTCAAACTCTGTCCTCCATAGCAGACTCCCTGCCTTTGATCTTGCTTTTTGCTCTAGTTAATCTTATCTGGTGCTGGGATGGGCTTCTTTCTACCAGCCCCGGGAGTCAAAGTCAAAGACAGGCATGCTGAACAAATAGGGTTCTGACGGAAGGGCAGCACACTCACATTCCTTGGTGTTGGGGGGAGCCAGCAGGCAGGAGTAGCAGACCATGCCGTAGATGTTCCTGGGTCTGTTTTCCAACATGTAGTAGCTGCAGGAGGCAAGACAAGACAAAGCAAGCCAGGTGAGGTGGGCACACAGAGCAGGCACTGACCACAACAGACCGGGGCCTCTTGGCAGGCCTGTGATCAAAGCCGGATATGAGACAGCACAGTGGGAATCGGGAGCCCTGCTGCACCAGCAGCCCTTTAAAAATACATATTTATTTAGGTGTTAGCAGCCCTTTTCGCCTACTGAGTTTCCTTGGGGGTCTGTAGCATGTCTTGAAATGGTACATTCTTTTTCTGATATTGGGCCAGTATGGGCCTTTCTTCTAATCTCTGCCTCCTTTTAGTTCCTTTTCTGAGGGATTTGGTGTGTGTGTGTGTGTGTGTGTGTGTGTGTGTGTGCGTGAGATCACCATTTTCAATCAACATCATCCACCAGAAGTATCCACGTGTCCCCCATGGTCGGCCCTGGGTGTTTCACCTCGGGTTAGATGTCGTGGAGGAGGGACACCCCTCAGCGGGTTCCCTTCTCCGAGCCTGTAGCCTGGTGGGATTGTTAGCAAAAGTGTCTCTGAGTCCCTGGAACCCCTGGAAGTCCCAGAGTACCCAAGTCACGGCTGAATGCCACTGAATGGAGATGGCCAGCAGAGGATGGCTGCTGGAGACAGAAGGACAGCTGCGCTGTCCAGGCAGATCAATGCAGATGGCTTTAAAGATGCCTTGAAATGCAACCAGGTCACAATACAACCAACCGTGCTTGCCCCCAAACACCTAGGCAGCTGCAAGTGTTCACACTGGGGTCGCACAGACTCCTAGACTAGGACGTTATTCACAGTGACACTGCTTAAAATCCTTCATCCTCAGATGATGCTCTGGTCACTACACCAGCCCCGTGACCACACTGACGGGCAGGGGTCCTCCTGCCACTGTGGCCTGTGGGCCGTGCAGGACTCCACCCTTCTGCCTCCCCGCCTCCTGCTGACACCCCGACAAGCTGACACTGCCCTCTCCTCCCAGGCACCCCGGCTTCTTTCCTCTGCAGCCCTGGCTCTCGCCGTGGCCTGCGCCTGTGTTCCATAAACACTCAGGGGTGATCACGGAGCCATTTATCACATGGTGAGAAGTTGATTAAATAAAGTGAGCTGTTGCCAACACTTTCCCTTATTACAATTCGAGAGATGAAAGATCCCTCTCTGCTACTGGATTTTTCAAGGGTTGTCTCCTGATCTCTTTTTTATTAGCTTTGCACCACGAGGGCCCCCACGGATGGCTGTGGTTAGTGACACAGAGTCCAGGAGGGCTAGGGGCGGGGGCGTCTGGGCTCTGGCCTTCATGAGCTTGGACCATCACCAGAAACATCATGGGCACAATTGCCTGCCTTCCTCCACGCCTTTTATCCTCAGATCCCTGAGTGTCTTGTAAACATTAATTAACCGATCTCCAAGCACTCCTCTGAGAAGCCACAGTGGCCAGCCTTACAGTTAAGCCTTGTGGAAGAAGCTTCTCCGCAACACATCCTGTGCCCTCTCTGGAGGCCATCTTTGTGAAGCGGGGCGCTGTGGGGACCCACACTGCATCTGCCCAGGGCTTCCCATCTGCCATGTGGCCTCATGAAGGGACAGGTGCCGGGTTGGCCAGGCAGCCCCACCTGCAGCCTTCCAGTACCAGGTCCAGCGTGCCACTCCTGGGAAACACCTGTTAGGACTTCCTCGCCTGCCTCTTCCTCCCTATCAGGGCTGGGGGCAGGAGGCCAGCCTTGTTCACGTTTGCATTTCTGGCACTTGTGCTAGGTACTCAGGTTGGAGAGCTCTCGATAAACATCGGAAGGACAAGTTAATCAATGCCACCCAGTTCTCCTCCGTAGAAGTTCCCAGTGCTGAGTTAGACAGAAGCCCCCAAGAATGTTCCTGAGCTCGCCTCCCTCTCTGAGCAGGAGAACCACAGCCTTGCCCATCCTGTTACGTGCTGTTCAGGCCTCAGTCTTAGATAAAGCTCAAAATCACAAAGGGAGGTGGGGCATGCACTGGGGCACTTGCATCTTGAGCATCTAGGGAGGGGCTGCATCTGCTGTCGCCTTTTTCAGGGTACGTGTTGGGGTTGGGGTTCCTTTCTGATTCCCACGGGGCTCTGAATGGCTCTATGCTCCTGCACTAACCCTGAACGTGCATTTGGACCCATCTGTGGGATGCTGTAAGTAATTTAGTGAAGGAGCCATCTTGAAAGCCTGTGATATTTTGAAACATAGGTTGGCTCCAGGAAACTGTCAGAAAGCTCCACTGCTTTACCTGACACAAGAGTTAAGTACCTTGTGGCCAGGTGCAGTGGCACACGCCTCTTATCTGAGTGGCTGGGGAGGCCAAGACAGGAGGATTGCAAGTTCAAAGCCAGCCTCAGCATCGGTGAGGTGCTAAGCAACTCAGTGAGACCCTGTCTCTAAATAAAATACAAAATAGGGCTGGGGATGAGGCTCAGTGGTCGAGTGCCCCTGAGTTCAATACTTGGTACACACACACACACACACACACACACACACACACAAATATCTTGCAATAAAGAGAATCCACTTTTATCAGCAAGCACCTATTGCTTCCTGTAGAGAATACGTCTAAATGTTAGGTTTTCCTCTTAGGACAAACCTGAACTCCTCATGGTGCAGTGTAACCTCTATCTCTCACTCAGGGCCAGATAGGAATGGAAACAGCCATCTGATAGAATTTCATCAATTTGAAGTTGAGTGTTCCCTTAGGGATCTGTGACCCACCAGGGTGTCAAGTTCTTCCTTAGGGAAAGGCCAGTTTCCTACTCTTTGACCCGTATTTTGATTTTCCCCTGTATCTACTGGGCTCACAATGGGCTGATATCCTGCTGAGTCCATCCTAAGTTAAAAACATTGTTAATTTGAAAATACATTTCTATAACTAACTTATTATATACATCCCAGCCTAGACCATGTGGGAGCGCTTACGTCAGCTTACGGTTGGGCAAGATCATCTCACACAAAGCCTGTTTTATAACGAGGCGTTGACTATCCATGTGATGTACTGAGTGCTGTACTGAGAATGAAACACAGGAGTACTCACCCTTCACTTAAGGTTCACGTACGTTAAATGTGGTTCCTACTGAATGCATATTGCCTTTGCACCATTGGAAAGTTAAAAAAAATCAAACCTTTATAAGTTGGGGTGACCTGTAGTTCTTTTTTTCCTTGACTCCCCTGTTCTTTCTGGATCCATTAAGTTGTAGAGCTCAGGCCAAGATTCAGTTTTAATGGGGCCTCTAGAATCTTCTATCCAGAGGGTGACTTCAGGTCAATAGATACAGGTTTCCCCCGAGGAGTCTCCTTTCCCAGGACCCTTGAGCCTGCAATGGATGAGCCTTGAGACGTTCAATTCCCTCCAACATGTTGGCAGGTAGGGCCAGGCTCAACTCTGTCGAGTGTCCTATTGGAAGGGAATGGTGTGGCGTGGGGTGGAGCCTCAGGAGTTCCTCCGGGGGACAGAGATGCTGGGGAGGCTGTGAAGGCTGACCTCTTCCTCGCCTCCTGTTTTGGTTCCTGGTCCTCCCCCACACAACCTTTCCCAACAGGAAAGCCCCATGGGCTGCTCATTGTTCAGTGAGTGTCTCGGCCACGTTCAGATACAAAGAGGAGACTGCAAAGAGCGAGGAGCGGGCACCTGCCAAACCACAAGGGAGGGGAGAGGGCCAAAGCTGCCTTGGTGTTAGAAAGACAAATAGGAGGTAATCTGCATCCGCAGCCCAGGAACCACAGGGATTCGGGAGTGAAAACCGCCTTTCATCCAGCTAATAATGCCGACTTGCCAAAAGGCTTGGTAATCCTCCTCTGGGACACAGCGTGAGAGCTTCATTTTGTTCTCTAAATCAACAGCATCTGAGAGGAGGCCAGAGCCCTTCAGGGTCCTGCCCCAGTCACGCCTCCTCAGCGGTGGGGGCTTCAGCCACCATGAGGGCACAGGGGACCGGAGGTACGGGGGCCTTCTGTCTGGGTGGCCTTGGGGCTGGTAGGGATGGCTTTAAACAGACACATCCCATGGCAGAGCCAAACAGGGGATGGACTGAGCAGTTTTGGCATCCATAGGGCGAACCTAAACGCGCAGACATGTGTTTTGAGATGTGTCTCCTCCCTCTGTGGGTGCCCCGGCCTTGATCTGTCCTGGGTGCTGAAGACCAAGTGTGACTGAGCAGCGTATGGTCGCCACGGAGCAGGGAGAGAGGCACTCAGGATTCCAGAGCTGGGAAGAACTTTCCAAAGTAGGTGATATCCCCCGCTACTTCCACAGATGGCCGTCCACGTCTGTTGGACCCCGTCCAGAGGTGGGGAACTCAACACACTTTCATTGTGCAACTTCTTTAGTGACTGGATACTTTCTGGTAAGTGTTAGCACCAAGCAAGTTGTCTTCACGGCTTAGAGTCTTCTGAGTGCCAGGCTGGCACCAGCCTATGGGACAGGGTATTTACCAGGCTGGCCCCAGGCTTGTCCTGTCTGGTTAGAATGTTTCTGTGGCTCTAGGTGAAAATGAAACAGATTGCCCCATGCACCTCATTCTGCTCCTTTGAGATCATCTGGAACAAAGTCACAGCTGAATTCCACAGCCTACTGAGGCCACGCGGCCACAAGACTGACCAAGTCAGAGCCAGCAGTGCAAGTCAGTCAACTCTGCCAACCACCCTTTTAACCCCCCTGCAAAGCTGATTCTGGGAGCCCGTCCAGACCAGAGGCTCTAGCACCATCAATGGGTGGATGGCTTCCAAGTCCTGAGCTCAGCCTGGATCTTGCCCTGAGCACCACACCCTCTAGATCTTGGTTTAGATGCCCACAGCACCTCAGATTTCACAAGACAGTCTCCATCTGCCTCTACCTTCCCACAAAGACTTCTTCCTATTGTGTTATGCATTGGAGCAATGACTCTATGGTCCATCTCACTGGCCAAAGGCAGACATCCAAGAGCCCTCTTCCTGTCGCGTGCCCTCTGTCTGTAACTAGGGTCAGTGCTGTCTGCTGGCCAGCGCTCAGCTTCTCCCCAACCCCAGTGCTCCTGCCCCAGCTCCCATCAATTCCCACCTTGACCCTGCCCTGGGCTCCAGGCTCTTCCCTCAGCTGTTTTCCCTACCACCACTAATGTACAGCCCTTTCGTGTCCTGCTGCAGCGTGGCAGTCTGCATGGTGACCTTCATCAGCTGCAAGCTGAAGACCCAAGTCTTCAGTGCTGGTTTCCAGAGCTCTTTCCATCTGGTCCTTGCCCACCGTGGCTTCTCCACATCCCACGTGTGCACCTCTTGCTCGGCCACAAGAACCCAATCAGAACCCTACACCCTTTGAACTTGGGCTTCAGTCTCCACTAGGAAGGCTCTGCCCTGTTTCTCAGCCTGACCACATCCCTCCCACCTCCAGAAGCCTAAGACCCCTGCGATCCCACTGCTTCCATGGGCTTCTAGAACATTCTGTGTGTGCCTCACTAAACGGTGCTGTGGTTGCTGATTTCCTTGTTTCACTCCTCCACTGAGGAGAGAGGAAGCATGTGTCCCCTCATCTCACTGATGCCGGTCTAGTCGCTTTAGTTGACAGGTTTATAAAGACAAACACTGGAGCTGCCACATTAACTCACGAATGCCTGGTCAGGTACTCACACTGGGAAGCCTTCAGAAGAAATCTAGGTTTTGCAAAGGTGAACATGTTAAGGTCTGCATACTGTTCTCTACTTAATTCCTGGGAGCTCTGCATGTCTTTTGTGAATCATGTATTTGCACCAATAAAATCAATGAATGGATCAATCAAGATAAAACTCTAGGAAGCATGTTAATTATCAGAGACTGATTCTCGCCATCTAATGTCAAGATCCTACTGAATTTCTGTCATACCGAGGCAAGCAGAGTGTGTGCACAGAGCAGTCCCAATGAATTCCTGTGCAGCTGGGTGGGAATGCTTTGATTCTGATTCTTCTAATACCCACGTTCCTTTTGGAGGAGCTGCTCCACAGCACAATAATCACAAAAACTGAATTAAAAGCACCCAGCCAAAAAACTTCATTTTTATCATATTTTCTAAGAGAATAGCCTAATATCCTCTCAGTTTTTTTTTTTGTCATCTGCTTTTGTTTGCATATTGGAAAATAAGGTTCTGTGTCAGGTACCTAACCTCCGGCTTTATGGATTCACTTGAAAAACATGTTTGATTCATACTTTGTGTTGTTTACATTGGCATAGGGTTGTCCAGCCAGTATTTGGATGGCTGATTCTGTATTGGGGGAGGTAAGCCTAAGCCAGAGAGACAGAATACTGGAGGGCGGAAGGGGAATCGTCACCAACAGACAGACAGAGGTGGAAGCCACAGAAGGGCGTGCTTCTTAGTACCAAAATTTAAATGAGGTTATTTGGGGTGAGTTTAAACCATATCTCCTCATGGTAAAGAGTTAATTTGCTTTCCATCTGTCTTGAAGTTGGTGGGTCTTCCTACTTTGTATGTCCTTCTTATTGCTAATGCTCCATGTCCTCTTTTGGATACATCTTCTTATTTTCTTCCTCCTCTGAAATCGATACATGTCCAGGGAGACATCTAGGCAAGCACACTGTGAAGTGAAGTGTGCTATTCAAAACACCTGTCTTGTTACCATCACCTCCATCATCACTTCCACGATTATAACTATCACCTCCACCAACACTTCCCCCTGCACCATCACTACCATTACCACCACCACCACCATCACTTTCCTCATCACCTCCATCCATCACTGTTATCATCACTTCCATCACCACCTGCACCATCTTGCCCATCATCACCTCCGTGACTCCACGATCATCATCATCACCTCCATCACCACTTCCGACTGCACCATCACTACCGTTACCACCACCACCACCACTTTCCTGATCACCTCCGTCATCATTATCATCTCCTCCATCACCACCTGCACCACCTCCATCAGGCAAGCTCTGCTTTTCTGCAGTCCTGGGAAAGCATGATGTTTTGATGGCCACTAGAGGGAGCAGCAGCAACAGCTGCGGTTTAGCGTGCTGGGTGTCAAGGTGGTGATGTTTCTGGTCCTAGGCAGAATTTACTAATGGGTCCTCCCTGGAAAAAAGGAAGATTAAATCTTTCTGTCTTTTAGGCTAATTGCATTTTCACTTTTTTGGGGAAGACTTTTGATACCTAACATAATTGCGGTGGAATTACAGGCATCATCTGACTCAAACATTTTTTATTAGTAGTTTTTACCCTCGGGTTTTCCAGAATATTAACAAGAATACTTTCATGTAGAATTTTTTTTTCTTTCAGAAGGTTTTATATGTGTTGTCTCGTTGTAACTGTTCAGCAAATTTGTTTCATTTGGGCAGTCAGAAGATGCACGATGATGAGTGTCCACGTCAGAGGTGTGGACAGGGCACCTGGTGACAGGACTCACCACCCTGGATGCTGCCATTGTGGAAGGGGATGAGGGACAGGCATGACACTGCTCTAAGGTCTGTGGTGCCCATGGACCCTTGTCCAAGGCTCTCTGGCCCTATGGCCATCACTGTTCAGGGGTCAGCCCTGCGGGGTCCCCACTTACCCAGGGAGACATGGCCCACACTCGGCGTCATTTTCCATGTCCCCCGGTGTCAGCACGGTGGCCCGGAAGAAGCCCTCGCAGTCTTTGTGGCGTCTGCAGATCTGGTAGCCTCCTTTGGAAAACTTCTCTGCTGGGCAGGGCACACAGCCGTAGTCCTCATCTTTGGTGCCGTAGCCACAGGACTGGCCAAGGAAGCAGACAGAGGACATGGGTCAGCACAGCGGCTGACTCTGGCTGCAAGGCAGCGACACGCCAGCTTTTCCCAGATGCCGCTCTTGCTGTCCCTAGCCACCTGTCTCATCCTGACTGCAGAACCTCATCTCCTGGCTCCAGCTCTGAGCTCACTCCCCTCCCCTCTGGGCTTGGGTCTCAGATGCTGCTCCTCTTCTGAGGTCCCTGAAATAGATTCCACTGGCCCCTGGAATGTCCCATGAGTAGACCAGCCCTGGGAGTCCGACTTTTCTCAGCACACTACAAGAACCCGGGAACTGAAAGCCTAGATGATTCTTAGCGCTTCGCAGAGAATCATGCTCAGCTTCCCAGAGGAGGGAGCTGCGACGCATTTCAGTCACGCTCCTGACACCTCTTTAATCAGGGCACATTCTCTAGAAAGCCATTCTCCAGAAAGATGCAGAACTCCTGAGAAACCTGTTGACGTGTGCCCAGCAGGAAAGCACATCTTGGGCTCATGACAGCTCACGCCACTCGGTCTCAATGTCCAGCGGCCACAGGTGACACAGGTGACGGTCCTGATTCACCCTGCACACCTCTCACACCACAATGCCAGCCCAGGACACGGGGACCTGTCCAAGCAAGCCCCCAGGCGTGTCCTTACCATGTATGGCTCCTCCCCTGGCCCACAGGGGGGACACTGGTGGCACAGCCCCGTGGTCTGGTTGTAGTACTCATTCTCGCCACAGTTGGAGTACTCTGCTCTGGCTGAGCACATCAGGGACACCTGCCACAAAAGGGGTCGTTTTAGGCTCCACGCCTCCTTGAGGCCCAGTCCAGGAGAGGGCCAAGCTAGTGAGCGGTCCCTGGTGCTCAGTCCGCAGGCGGTCAGCAGCTGGGCCTGGCCACCCCTGCCTCCCGCCAGCAGATGCCCACCCAGAGCCCTGTCCTCCTCACCCTGCTAAGCCCAGCCCCTCACCAAGGTGCTCTAGATTCTCATCTCCCATGAATCTGGATTCTCTCCAAGGCCCGGGACGAGGGGGCCTCCTGTCCTGAGCCTAAACAGTGGGGCTCCTCCACACAGTGACGTTTGTCACTCGTTGGCCCACCCTCACCCCCAGGAGGAGTGTGGAAGGAAGGATCTTCTGGATCTTTCTCAGCTGCGGGGCCCACAAGTGTGGACCATCACTCAGGCACGAGGCTGCGGGGAGCACAGCACCAACAAGCCCTGGACGGCGTTTCCACCCGTGAGCCCCACAAAGCGAGCCGCCGACCACACACGGGAGCACAGAAGGGGTTTGGTGCTTGGCAGGCCTGATCCCAGCTCAGCCTCAGACAAACCCCGGGGAAGGGGGGCTGCGGCCATTATTCCCACCTTACAGCTGTGGAAACGAGACCCCGGAGGCTGCTGGGAAACTGGCGGGGAGGGGGGAGGATGCAGTGTGAGCAGGCGCTCAGAGCCACTTACCACCAGGACAGGGAGCCAGGGCGTCCACCTAGAGTCCTCCTCGTGGGCCATGCTCTCCCGGGAGTTCACCTGAAAGACACGCTCCGTCAGCACCTCTGGGTGCCGCAGCGGCCCCAGCCTCTCTCCAGCTGCCTTCCTTGTGCCTCACTGGATATACGGGAAGGCGCCTTCCAGCAGACAGCGTGGACCCCCCAAAGAGAAGGCAGACTGTAAGCTGTGTCCCAGCCCCATGTCCCTTGGGCTGACTCTGTGGCCCTCGGCTGCATCCCAACCATGCCCCCAAAGAGCCCTTGAGACAGGGCTGGAGCCTGCTGAGGGCCTGCTGTTACCCCTGGGGGGTGACCCGTGTTTGAAGTGCTCAGAGGGCCTGAAGCAAGCTGGCCTGACCCCAGCTTAAAGCACAGAGTGCTCCCGGGTGCTCTCGATCCCCAGGCTCCAGGGCAGCAGGAGCACCCCTGGAGATGCTGCTGGGGACCAGCATCTGGTCTGTCCCTGCCTCTGCTCTCCCAGCCCCATGGAGGGTCTTTCTTTTCTCTGTGAAGCATGGGTCATTGATCAAAGTGGTTGAGTCAGAGAATTGTAGTAGAAGTCCAACCACCTCACTGTAAGGTTGAGACAACTGAAGGCCAGAGAGGCTGAGTGACTTGCCCATGGTTACACAGCTACTTACAGGAAGGAGGACGGTTATAGCTGGGGTTCACGTGCTTTTCAGGTGAACCGTTGCAGTAATGCATGGCTTTGTAGGAGGAGGTGTTGTCTTAATTGTTCATTTTATGAATGGGAGACTTGGGTCTCTAACTTGAAGCAATTTTACCTGGGAGTTTGGGTATTAATTAGCCCGGCTGTACCAAAAGAGGTGATTTTCTCATGTGTGTGTGCCTCAATTCCCCAGCTGCCACTTTGGTCACGACTGGGGGTGAGTTAGTGACATAACAGCATGCCCTACTGTAGATGCTGAGGAATCTTCTAGAATCCAGTACTGACACAGACCAGGAGTCAAACGGGGCCTTGGGAATACCCCTGCCAAGACCTTCCCCCTCCTGTCCTCCTCACGGGTCATGGAAATCAATAATCACCATCCCCACAAGAAAATCCTGTGCAGGGAGCTGGGGATGATGGCAAATGGGAAACCATTGTTCTCTCCTCCTCCCTCCTTTTCTTCCTTCCTTCCTTCCTCTCTCTCTCTCTCCTCTTCCTTCCTGGCCTTGAACTTTGTCTCTATAACAACCCAAAGGCATTAAGAAGAGAAGCAGTCAAACGATCATGTATTATAAATAAAGAGATGAAGCTGGAGAATGAGGGAGCGCTGTGTGAAGAGTCGGGGAATGAACGGCAGAGAGCCACAGAAGACCAGTCAGCAGKGGGGGCGGGAGGCATTGCTCCTGAGAAGAAGAAGCTCCCTGAGGGGTCCCCCCAGACTTGAAGCCTCGCTCCGTGAGATTTTTGGAGAATGCACATTTAGGAGAAGCACATAAGGCCTGGATATATACAGAGAGGTTGGTGAGGGGTCACATCTCATGCACTGGAGCAGCCCCACCCTCCAGTTCAGCTGCCCTCCGTAGCCCCCCAGGAAGATGCTAGTCTAGTGTCCTGTGCCACCAAACCCTCCACTCCTGGAAAAGCGGGGTGGCTAAAGTCCAGATGGGGCTTACTTAGCATTGCAACAGACAAAGAACCAACAAAAAAAATCCACCCTTCTCCCTTCCCTGGAGCCCGTTCCATTGTTGAGTGACGATCACACAGAAGATGCTTCTGTGACTGTACTTGTAAAGGTTTCCATATGCATTCAAATGGGTCTGGTGGCACCCACAGACCTTCCAACAAAGACTCTCTGGCAGGAGGTGAGATGGTGTGAAGGGGACGGAAGACTGGGGTTCAGAGTGAATGGTTGAGTAGGGTCTGTGTCAACTTCGTGATGAGAAAAAGACCATAAACACTTTTCACTCTGGGGAGAAGATGGCCGGGAGAGGATGACCCCTTCGGAGCCTGGTCAGGGTCACTGGCAAAGCCCTCTGGGCCGGCCTGGTCTTCCCCGGGCTCTGGCTGCCTGGTACTAAGCTACTCACTCACTCAGTACCATCAGGGTCTTGGGGGAGGGTGATGTTTCTGGACTTTCTTGACRAATTTAAGGACTGCCTTTCCCATGATCCAGCACTCTGCTGGGCACCTTGGTGCTKAGTTTACATTTGAAAAGCCCTGACTGGACTAAGCCAAGATGAAAGCACCCGGGCAGCCACCCCGTCATGAACTTGCTGGGTGTTTTCCCTCTAGCAAGGAGCAAGCTGGGGCAGGCAGCAGGGGAGGCCCCAGGCTGCTGCAGCCCAGCTCGTCGGGGAGGAGCAGGGATGGCAAAGGCCGGAAGAGGGTCTGCGCCCTGGGACCCACAGCCCTGGCCTTGCCTCGGGATGGTGGGGTGAGCAGAAGTGGGTTTCCCTGGTCTGTGGACAGGGCCAGGGGCTCTCTGCTGCTCTGCAGGCTTTCAAGAGCCATATTAGACGTTTTAATTTCATTGACTTCTAATTATAGCTGAGGAGCCTTGGGGGGTTTCCTGAGAAACTGAGAAGGGCCAGGCCTGGTGCACCTTAATGTTAACGAGGAGCATTACAGAAAGGCTCATTAAAGGTATCCTGTAGATCCAAGAGCCAAAAAAAACACAAATAAGCAGATGCACGAAGCCAAACAGAAAGTGAATGGAGGAGCGGGAGTGGCCATGCACCCTTGTGAAGCTTGCTGTCTGGGAGGHTGAGGCAGGTGGACGGCCAGCGCGAGCCAGCGGGGGCCACACAGCCAGACCCTGCCTCAATAAATAAATAAATAAAAGTCAGCAGCATTTGCATTATTGTGACCTTGGGGAACCCCCTGTCTCCTGCCTTGCTGCAAAGTCTCTGAACTGAACTGAGCTAAGGGAGGCCCCTCTGGCCAGGGAGCCCCATGATTGTGACAGTGAAGAGGAATGGGAGGAGCACCAAAGTGTCCCTTCCTACCCATGTGCAGACAAGGCTGACGCTGAACTTGTGGAGCTGAGCAGCTCGTGAACGATCGGGGTCAGGACCCTGCAGACTCCTCCCACTGGTCAGCCTGCGGCCCACGGCTCTCTGTCCCAGTCTGGCTGCACCTTTGCAGCTTCATGAAAAGATGGAGACCCCAGGACCAGGCAGAGCAGGGAGCCCACATACCTACATCCACCCTGGATGGGAAAGGCTGGCTGGCCCTGCCTGGCTGCTTCTCCTCCCTCCCACCCCCTAGACCCTCTGGCTTTTGATTGTTCCCTCCCCATGACGTCCACTGAGASTGACAACCCAACCATGACACGGCCGTGTGGGACCAACCCAGCCCTGCTCTGGCTTAGCCCTCACCCCAGGTGAGGTGGGCCCCATCATTCTCCCCACTTTCATAGATTAGGAAACTGAGGCCAAATAACCTGCTTAACATGAGACCAGCCCTTGTTTCTCGTCACTCCCCATCTCCCCGACTAGGCTGGCTACTCCACATCAGGGTCGGCGGGACTACAGGCCCCATTTGGAGAGTTTTTGCTGCTGGAATTATGGTCTGTCTTGTTCCCCTGGGGTCCTGTGGCTGGGTGCGCTTCTCTCGGCCYAGACTGTCCAGTGCTGCCCCAGGCTTCCCCATGACTCCTCCCATTCTGGGAGGTCTCTGGCCAACGCCAAACAGTCTGACCTCCTGAGATGTGGGCCAGGGAGGARGTCCAGGCACAGCCACCTCTGTGACAAAGTCCTCGAAGTTCATCAGGGAACTTCCTTCCTGTCTTCTCCTTCCTGTAGAACTGAGGCAGAAAAGCAAACCCAGGAACTACCCCACGGCCCCTCATGCACAAAGCTTTGCTCATAGCTGCCGTCACTCAGGCCCCAACAGGACAAAAGTTCAAAACTTACTTAGGCCCCAAAGAAGGGGTTGGGCATCTCTTAAGAAATCTCTCCCTGGGGCCTCAGGCTCACTGGTAAACACTCTCTGAAACCCACGCTTGCCATAGGGCAGGACGATCCCAGGTGGCTCACAGGGCCACAGCCCTTGGGAGGCTTGTGTCAACCTGGAGGGCTGGAGTTGACATCTCTTAGCTCTAGGTGTTGTCTCATCCATTCAGAACATTTATGAAGGGCCTCCGCCCTGGCCACGTTCTGGCCTTGGGTGGGGCCAGCTTCTGCCTTCCAGGGGATTAAGAGATCGGTAGGGTGCGGCCACATGTCACCCTCAGTTCTGGGGCTGGAGGTCCACGATGCTCTGGGACCCTCAGGATGGGCGCTGTGGTGCCGTGTGCTCACTCCCGAGGTGTAAATATCTCTCTGTGCTCTTTCAGCTGCTGACTGAGGCTTCCCTAGAGGGCCTGGACAGGGAACCAGGGCTCTGCCACCCTGGGCACCGACTCCATTCTTGGGGAGAGCAGGACAGGTCGAGACCAGACACCTAAGCCCTGAAGGGCAGGTAAAAACCAGCTGGGAGAGTGCACAAAGTTATCCCAGGAAGAGGTAGTACACCCAACGGCCCAACGTGAGGGAGTTGAGTGCTGAGTGTGGGGTCAGACAAGGCAGCGCTCATGTAAAGGCTGTGTGTGTGGAGTAAGAGTGGCAGGCCAGCTCTCCACTGTGGGGAGAGAGAAGGGCGCCGTCAAGCTTTGGTGATCAAGATCCACGGAGGAAGTATGTCAGAATGAAACCCAACGCACGTGCACATGCATGTACACATGCAGTTATCACACGCCCGAGACAAAGTGGCTTGAAACACTTGTATTTACTAAGTGCAATGGGCTCATGCAGTCTATCCTATTATTTATTTATTTTGGTACTGGAAATTCAACCTGGGGGTACTTAAGCACTCAGCCACATCCCCAGCCCTTATTATTTTTTATGACCATGCTAAGTTGCTGAGGCCAGCTTTGCTCTGGCTATCCTCCTGCCTCRGCCTTCTGAATTGCTGGGGTTATGGGTATACTACCACCACACCTGGMTTATCCTATTACTTTTATTAGTGCATATTAATTATAAAAAAATAATGGGTTTCATGGTGGCATATTTATGTAGACATGTACCATGTGTGGATCATCTGTATTC